TTGGTCCAAATGGACCAAAAAGGATTTCAACTTTCAATTCCTGGATGTGACCCCCTCAAATAGGAGTGTGAACTGGTCCTTCCAACTTTGCATAACTGGAATCTCTTATCTTCTTTGCAGACACGTGTTCTCCTGGGCGTAGTTTTCCAAAAAGGTTTTGTTGACACTTGTGAGCCTGTTGGGACAAGCCACCCCACCCCTAATGCCAGGCTCTCCTGTGCCCATGTGAGCGCCAGCCCCTCTCTCTGATGCTGGTGCATTTGAAGAGGCCTTGGACCCCTGGGTAGCAGAGACTTGTGTGCTTTGTTTTGGTTGCTTGGCAACAGCACGTCTGCCAGGGGCTGTGGATGCCCCTCTGGGCGGGGCATCTGCCTTCCTCCACTCCAGAAGGGTTGAAGGCTCACCTGTCCCAAACAGTGAGAGTGCTGGGTAGGATCCAACTTCACAGCATCCGGGGCGTCACCCCGGGGCAGGGGTCCATCAAGTGTCTCAAAGAAGTAGGGACATGGTCCTGGACTGGGGCTCATGTCCAGGGGACACAGGGCCGCACCACCAGCACTTTCACCTGCAAGGGGTCTTCAGCTACCTAATGGTCTTCAGGAAACCCTGCCTAAATTAGCCAGAGCCAGTTTTGATATTTGCAAACCAAGATCCTCATCTGACACAGGAGCCCACCATCACCTGCGACAAGAATTTCAGCAGCAGCATTTCTGGCACGCCGCCTTCAAGCGCACAGACTCCTGGCCTTCTTTAACTTTGGGCCAACTGTACCCACACTGATGCCTAACCCCCAACACACTCTCCGTGTCCCTGTGTTTTGTGCCCTTCGCCACGTCTAACGATTGCTGGTGGATACAGCCAGCACTTTTCACTTACCTTGCGATAACCCTAGAAAGACTCACGCACATGCACAAACAGTTGTCATTTTTCACTGCTTTTAGGCTCTTTAATTTATTTTCTCCAATTTGATGTTATTTCCTTTGTAATCCTGAGCCTCTTTTTGCTAACACTTTGAATACTGCTTTTGTATCTATTGGCTTGAAAGCAGTCTGCCTTGGGAATGGCAATACTTGGGAAGAAAGGTAAAGTGGTAATCAGACCAGCTGGAAGTGGTCTGCTCTCTATAATCACAAAGTGCTGAGTGGAAAGATATTATTCTTGCCAGGCTGACTGTTCCTTCTACCCTCACCCCTTGGTATGCCACCTCCTATGGGAAGGTAGAATTAATAATATTCATGGAACACTTTGAAACTAAACCAGAACTGAAGTATTAAGCGGTAAAGGGGCATTATGTTTGCAACTGACTCTCAGAGAGTCCAGAAGAATTGCATACACGCATATCCATACACACAGAAAAGGATTTAAGAAATGTAAAATTTTAACACTTGGTGAATTAGTGTCAAGGGTGTATAGGAATTCTTGGTTGTATTCTTTCAACTTTTCTGGAAGTGTGAAATTGTGCCAATATCAAACGCTGAGAGACTGGGGTCGCTCAGAAGCAGCTCATGGCCCTTCGGCAGCAAGGGGCCGGACGGTCCCAAGTGGGCCTCTTCATGGGCAGGAGAGGCGGAGGTCTCCGAGGTCCAGCTGCAGGGCCTGGCCTGCCCATGCTCCCCACAGCTTTGTGTGCTCCTTCCCTCCCACTGGGGCCAGCTCTCCCGCCCCAGCTTGCTGGGGACCTTCCCCCACAACCTGCTGAGTGACGCTCCTCTGTCTTCCGGCTCCCATACCAGCCCTGACTCCTGGCAGTTTTCTGGTGTCTCCCAGAGAATGCTGAGCAGAGTTATGACCACCATTTCTTGAGTGAGTCAGACCGAAGTGTTTTAACCCACGTTATCCCGCTGAATCCTCACAGCACCCTGACAGACAGGTGCTGTTCTTGCTGGTTTACAGACCAGGAAGCTGGGGTCTGGCGTGCACAGTCTCTGGCAGCGCAGGGATTCTCATCCAGGCCCTACTGTCCCCTGCCTTCCTTTACTGTCTCTCTTCTTGGGAGTAGGCCAGTTTCTGTGAGCGGAACCAGGAATGGGGGCTCGGCAGTACTGATGACCACACAAGCCGCACGGCTTACTGAGGGGCATCCCAGCCCCCCACCACCTTGTGGGACCCAGACCTTTCCTCCTCTCTCCTGGCCATGGCCTGGCTCCGAGCCAGCCGAGCAGAGCCAGGTGGAAAGGGCTCTGACCTGGGAAAGTGCCCAGGTGAGCACAGCGACTCTCCTGCTCGGATGTTTGCTGTTCCCAGCCCTCCGTGTTTGCTGAGCCCGATTACTGGTGGGTCCTGGGCTGTCCCCCTTGCCCAGGCTGCAGAACTGCCCCTCTGTCCCATCCAGCGCCCCAGTGTCCCCAAGCTCACCTCATCCTCCTTGTCTCATCCCCGAGGGCAGTAAAGCAGGCGGGGTGGGGTTTCTGGACCTCCCAGGAGTCAGCAGGGTGGGGAGGGCTATGGGACTCATCACGTGCCTCAGGCCCAGTGAGCCCTGTACACGCTCCAGGACCTGGGAGGTGTGCCCACCGGCTCCCGGAGGTCCCAGTGGCACACGCTTGGCAGATTTGCTGTCGTGTGGAGTTGGGCCCCTAGCACCCAAGTCTGGGTATATGTCCACCGGCTAAGCTCAGGAGACTGAGGTATACACCCAGAAAACCTGGCACCCATCTAGGCCAGGCCTCAGCCTTGTGGGAGTCCCCGGCCGGACACGGCCCTGGGGAAGCCACCTCAGGATGGAGAGGGAGGCAGTAGGTGTCATGGGGTTCTGATGGGACATGCTGCCGTGGTGCTCTCAAGCTCCAGCCCGGAGGCTGGGACACCCAGGGTCCTCTGGTCAGTGCCACAGTCATGATGGCCACTGGGCCTCTCCTTTTGGGGGGCTACCTTTTTAGCATGACATGGTGTTTGACGGCTGCTGATGCAGTGAAGATGCAGCCAGCTGTAGGAATTCCCAACAGGCGGGAGCCATTCTCCCTCTGGAAGACAGAGCTAAGGTCCTTCCCCATCCTTTCCTGGGCTCTGAGCGCCTCCAAAGGGTCCACAGTGGGTTTCAGGCCCTCAGAGTCTGTACGAAGTGGTCACAGTGGTGTGCGTGGGTGTGTTCCATTGAGGGGGGTAGGGGTCGACAAGGCTCATGACGTGCCAAGTGCGGTCTGTGACCCCATGGTGGGCTGTCTGCCCCTCACTGCTCAACTGATGTGATGGCGGCCCCGATCTTGAAGTTTCCATCCAGCCAGGCTCACGCATCTGAGGCTGAGTAGTTAAGTCTCAGGGACACCCCAGAATCCTTTCCCCCAGGGACATGGGCACTGTGTGTCCCTGTGCTGCCTGCAACCTCTCTGTGCCTGGGGCTGTGTTTACATGTGGAGTTCCTGGGAAGGCAGCGAGGGGGACAGGATCTAACTCCTGGTCTCCAAGACCTGGACAGTGACTCATGAGGAGGGGGTGGGGCAGCGAGAGTCTGAGGGAAGAAGGTTTTGCCTCCAGTTAACATTAAATAGAGATAATCCCACCCAAATCCCACCCGACGTTCTTGAGTGCTGGCCCTGTGCCAGCCCTGGGCTGAATCTTTGCAGTCCGCGTCTCACAGCGAGCACACAGTAGTGGTAAGGATGGTTACACGTCCTACAAGGCACAGAGGGGCTGAGTCTCTCCCCTCTACACAGCTCACAGCAGCCTTCCTGGGGCCTGGGGCTTTATACTTAACCCTTCCTGGTGCTTCTCACAGCGAGATTCTGGGGCCTGGGGCTCTCTGGAGGGTGTGTGTATCAAAAAACGAGGATTTCTGGATCTCGCCCAGACTAAGTAAATCAAACCTTGGGAAGAGGCCCAGGAGCCAGCATTTCAGCCTGTGAGATCCACGCTTCTAAGCTCCCTAGCAAGTTCCTGATGAAATAACTTCAGCTAAGGAGCTGGTTGGAAGAGGCGGGCCAAGCAGGGAAGGTGCCCCCTGCTGGGTTGAACAAGTGCACAGTTTGGGGGAGAGGAGGAGGCCTCTTCCCTCTCTACAGTCTCCTCCCTCCTGTGGACCCCCTGCGGTAGGGAGAGAGGAGCAGGGGGAACATTTGAATGGCTGAGAGGTATTTGGGGTATTTGGGCTGGGAGAACATAGTGACAGGGGACCAGGAAGGCAAGTGGGGTGGGGAGGTACGAAACCAGACTAGACTTTGGTGTTCTTTTTCAGAAGGGAGTGGGGGGCCCTACAGAAGGTTTTCAAGAAGAGGAATGCCGCGGCTTCCCTGGTGGCACAGTGGTTGAGAGTCTGCCTGCCAATGCAGGGGACATGGGTTCATGCCCCGGTCCGGGAAGATCCCACATGCCGCGGAGCAGCTGGGCCCGTGAGCCATGGCCGCTGAGCCTGCGCGTGCTCCGCAGCGGGAGAGGCCACAACAGTGAGAGGCCCGCGTACCGGGGGGGGGAAAGAAGAGGAATGCCATGGTTGGGGTTTCAGGAAGATGACTGGGCTGTGGGAGCCCAGACCAAAGGAAGAATGGAGGTTCCGGCAGCAGTCCTGTGGGGGGCTGAGTACTGGACCCGGGGGTTGGAGGACACGAAGGGAGAGAGCGTTAAGGGAGAGGGCGTGGAGACTGCAATCCTGGGACTGAGATAGACGGGGAGGAATCCCATGTGAAGCCTAGGAGGCGGGGTGAGACCTTCAGGGGCTTGTTGACTTGGAGGGGCTGGTGGGACCTCCTTGGAGGTGCATTTGAAACGTGGGGCAGGAGGAGTGGGATCTGGAGGGACACCGTAATAAGGGATTAAGCTAAGTCAGCACGCTGGAGCGCAGGGACATGGTGTGAGACCCAGATCATTCGAACTTCATCTCTCTGAGGCTCAGTTTTCTCATCTGTAAAATGGGTTGTTGTGAGGGCTCTATGAGGTAAGGGTGTTCCTGCAAGCGCCCCATCAGACACTTGGAAACACAGTCGCTACGGTTTGGGTGGCTGCGGGGGGCCCCAGACGAGCGTGTCTGGGTTCAGCGGCCGGGTGGGCTGCAGGGGCACCACTGCCCCCTGTTGGCGGTCCTGGCCAGAGCGTCCCCGACCTCTGACAGGCGGGGCGACCCGGCGGGCTGCTAGTGCGCTGGCCGTCCTCAGTCTGCCCGTCGGCTCGCTCTGGCGCCGCGTCTGTCCGTCGATCGATCCGCGGACGCCCGCCCCACGCTCGGCGGGTGGGCTCCCGGCCCCTGGATCTCTCGGGGAGCAGACTGCATGGTAGGTGAACGGGATGCCGGCGTGGGCACGGGCGCGGCTGGAAGAGCGCGCGGGCAGGGTCTCCCCAGGGCTGTAGGGATCGGAGGGCGCGTCGGGACGCCCCCCTTCCCGGGGGACTCGCAGCCTTCTAGGGTATCTCTGTCTTTTTGTCGGGCACGCACGCCGCGGGGCTGGGGGCTCCGGTGCAGCGACCTTTCTCGGGGGAGTAGGGAACTTCTCTCGAACCTGGGTTGGCGCCTGCGCATCCCCAGCTCATCTCCTCTGTCCCCGCCCGGCTCCCGCAACAGCCGGCGTAGGGAGTGCGGGTGCGGCGGGCGCGGGCGGAACGTTTGAGTGGATGAAGATGCCCCCCGATTCCAAAGTGCGGGGATTAGGTGTAAGAGAGGCAGGGAGGCTGGGGGAGGCTTCTGGGTGGAGGCTTCGGTGAGGAGAAAGATACTCAGGATTAAGAGTACTTGGGATCTAGGAGAGAGACGGACCTGAAAAAGAAAGTCGAGTGGTAGGTGCGCAGGTACATGGGCCACGGGAGCCCCAGCCCCCCATCTGAGGACAGGAAATGGAGCCGAAAAAAGAATCCAGGGAGAGGATCCAGGAGCCGAGCCTGAAAATCCGCAGTTGCTCCGAAGGGAGGGGAGGTGGTGGTGGCGGGCTTGGGGAATAGGCTCAGAAGGGCAGCTCCTGATCTTTCGCACCAAGATACATGCCCAGTGGAATCCCGTTCAACTCCTGCCCCAGGGCTGTAGGGATCGGAGGGCGCGTCGGGACGCCCCCCTTCCCGGGGGACTCGCAGCCTTCTAGGGTATTTCTGTCCCTTAGACTGTCCTTCCCTTGCCAGGTGGGAAATAAGGATCATGTCACTATGCACTGAAGCTGAGCACCTGAAATGTGTCAGGCACACTCCTGAGAACTTTATTCTTTCATTTAATCTTCCCAGAAACTATGAGGTAGGCTCTACTTACCCATTTTACAGGTGAGGAGACTGAGGCACAGTGAGGGCATGTCACAGAAGAGGATAGCAGAGCTAGCATTTGACCCCAGGCCAGTCTGTTTAGTTCCATGGCCTGGTTCCTTAACTACTATATCTGGTGGACTGGCAAAGAGATGGGAGCTGGAGAAAGGAGAGGGAACCCCAGAGCTGGCAGTGTCAAGGGTGTCAAATATTCCTACTTCAAACAGTTCAGGTGATAGAAAACAGAAACAAGGACCAACTTTTGGATCAGCACCATGGTTTTTGGCCTTTTCACTGCCTTGCTTGATCCCCACGGTGACTCAGTCCTCACAGTGAGTTGATGTAATCAGGCCCTTCTGTGCGTCAGGCAGGCCCTGTGTCAGGCAGGCCTTTCATGTCTTAAATTCCTGGATCCTTGTAATATGGGAACAGCCACAGAGAGATCACCATGCAAATAGTTGTACAGTTCGAAACTGGGGAGGCTGGATTTGAATCCAGGCAGCTGCTTCCAGAGACCTTGCTCTTAAAGACCATGTGATACTGTGCATTGTGCCCATTTTACAGATGCCCAAACTGAGTGTCTCTCCCAAAGTCCATGACTTGAAAGGGGAGAGACCCAAAGGGTGACTGCTGATGGCATAGCCCATGCTTGAGCGTCTCCATCACTGTTCAAAGGTTTCAGTAGGTCGTGAAATTTAAAATTGAAGTCCCACTTTTTATCATTTTAAAGATATACTTGTTCTTGTTTTTTTTGGCCACACCGCGCGGCATGCGAGATCTTATTTCCCCAACCAGGGATTGAACCCGTGCCCCCTGCAGTGGAAGCACACGGTCTTAACCGCTGGACTGCCAGGGAAGTCCCTAAGATGTACATTTTTAAGATGAAATTGTGATGCATCTTACAATGGATGGCGGTGTTTTTCCTTCTCAGCGGCACACGATATATCGGCCTTCTTGGTGTTGATGGCATCTTTGGTTTGACGAATAACAACAGAACCAGATTCCCTGAGTGACTTTTCTGGGTGTCTCTCTCTCTTCTGTTCTACAGGCTCCTCTCTGCCTCAATTGCTCCACCCTCCCTGGAGACAGGTCCCTGGGTACAAGGACCCCGGTGCCCTGCAATGGCAGCAGGGCCCTGGGGCCCTTTGACCCCCAGGACTTGAACCTGACTGATGAGGAGCTCAGACTCAAGTACCTGGGGCCCCAGCAGACAGAGCTGTTCGTGCCCATCTGTGTCACGTACCTGTTGATCTTCGTGGTGGGCACCGTGGGCAACGCACTGACCTGCATGGTCATCCTGCGCCACAGGGCCATGCGCACGCCCACCAACTACTACCTCTTCAGCCTGGCCGTGTCGGACCTGCTGGTGCTGCTTCTAGGTCTGCCCCTGGAGCTCTACGAGATGTGGCGCAACTACCCTTTCCTGCTGGGCCCTGGTGGCTGCTACTTCCGCACGCTGCTCTTCGAGACTGTCTGCCTGGCCTCGGTGCTCAACGTCACTGCCCTGAGCATAGGGCGCTACGTGGCCGTGGTGCACCCGCTGCACGTCAGGTCCGTAGTGACTCATGCCCACGTGCGCCGCGTGCTCGGGGCCATCTGGGTCCTCGCCCTGCTCTGCTCTCTGCCCAACACCAGCCTGCACGGCATTCGGCAGCTGGACGTGCCCTGCCGGGGCACGGTGCCCGACTCGGCCGTGTGCACCTTGGTCCACCAGAGAGCCCTCTACAACCTGGTCGTGCAGGTCACCGCGCTGCTCTTCTTCTGCCTGCCCATGGCCACCATCAGCGTGCTCTACCTGCTCATCGGGCTGCGGCTGCGGCGTGACCGGCTGCTGATCTACAGGCAGGAGGCCAAAGGCAGGGCCAGGACTAGCAACGGCCGCAGGCTCCAGCTGCTGCAGGATAGGGGTCGGACACAGGTGACCAAGATGTTGTGTAAGTGTTGCTGCTGGGAAGGGGGGCGGAGCCAGGCACTGGGTATGGGGCTGGGGCTTCCAGGGGCCTGGGGGAAAGGGCCGAGTGTTTCGGTTTAGGATGGAGGCTGAGTGTGAGGTGTGGAGTAACCCCCCCGCCCCCCACTCCCCCCGTGTGTGTGTGCATGCACTGCACGTGTGTATACTCTTCTAGATTACCCTTGAGAAAGTGACACCGGAGGTAAATGCTAATGATTCATGGCGGGATCAGCTACATAATTTGTGGGGCCCAATGCAAAATGAAAATTCAGGGTCCCCTGTTAAAAAATCATTAAGAATGTCAAGACAGCAATAGTAGAGCAGCTGTCTTTTTTTAAATAATTAATTAATCAATTAATTAATTATATTTATTTTTGGCTGCGTTGGGTCTTCATTGCTGCACACGGGCTTTCTCTGGTTGCGGCGAGCGGGGGCCACTCCTCGTTGTGGTGTGGGGGCTTCTCATTGCGGTGGCTTCTCTTGTTGCGGAGCATGGGCTCAAGGCACGTGGGCTTCAGTAAGCTGCAGCACACGGGCTCAGTAGCTGTGGCTCTTGGGCTCTAGAGCGCGGCTCAGAAGTTGTGGCGCATGGGCTTAGGTGCTCCACGGCATGTGGGATCTTCCCAGACCAGGGCTTGAACCCATGTCCCCTGCATTGGTAGGCAGATTCTTAACCACTGTGCCACCAGGGAAATCCCAGAGCTGCTGTCTTGAAGGTTTAAAGGTCAGGGCTCTGTGCAAACGCACAGGTGGCACACATGAAGCCAGCCCTTGTTCATGGAACCAACCACAGACAGGGCAGAGGCGTGCGGCTAGGCTCCAGGATAACAGAGCTGTTCATGGGCTCTGGACCCCCCAGGTCTCTCATCTTTGCTCCCAAATATGTTTTGGTTCTGTCCTTCCCTAAGTAGCTTGGGAGGCAGGACCACAGGCACGGAGTTCCCCTTTCCTGAGGAGCTAACTGTCCTCTTCCCTTAGTGGCTATGGAAAATCCCAGGGAAGGATTCTGATTGGTGGGCTTGGGTCACGGCCTGCCACCGGGCCAGAGTGGCAGGATGCTGAGGTAAGCAGCCCCCACAGACCCACATGGGGATCCGGGGGGAGCAAAGTTCCCAAAAGAAGGGGAACAGGGTGCTGGAAAGGCAAGATAGTGAATTTCCTGCACACCATGTCTGTGGTTCCCTGGGGACCAGAGGAAGGATCATGATCTAAAAGAGGTGGTTGGAGGCATGTTTGTGAGGGTCTGTGCACAGAGCACAGGAGAGTCAGGGCAGAAGTGTGGATTGGGGCCGACCAGGGCACGCCTGGCTGGCTTGAGGCTCTGGAGCTTTCTGTGGCCTAGGCCTGGTGCTTTTTCAAAAACAGTGGCCCTGGGGAAACCAGGCAAACTGATGCTAAGCCAGTCATTGATTCCCTCCCCATCCTGCCCTGTCCCACAGAGCCTGAATCAGGTAGGTGGGGTGAGCCAGGGCAGGACAGGGCTGGTGAGACCTTGGTCAAAGCCATGGGATTATGGCCAGCTAACTGGGAACTGCCCCATTCCCAGAGAGAGACTCACTCCTCTCCCCCCGCCAGAACAGTGTCCCAGAGCCTATGGTCACTTGTACAGCCCCCTAAGATGGGACTGACCTGGAGCTCTGTGCTTGCCTCCTGCACTACAGACCACCTGCCCGGGTCTGCCTCTGCTGCCTTCTACTGCCCTGCCTACCCGGGCTGCGTCTGCTCATCTGAGATGGCTCTCGCGCTGGGAAAGTGGGGTGTTTCCTTAAGGCTGCCTTGCTTGCTGGCCTGGGGCTCTGGCTTTCTTCTCTCCCTCCTGCTCCTGTCTTGTCTTTCTGAGGGCCTACTGTGCATCAGGCTGTGTGCTGGGGATGTAAGCAATGTTCTGATTGAAATCCGGGATTAAGAGGAAAACCACGCTGGAATGTAAGGGGGAAGACACTGCAGGGGAAGGATTGTGAGCTGGAGATGCAAACATGAGAAACAAGAAACAAAAATCAACACAGACCTGATAGCAAAGACCCAGGGAGGGTAGGGTGAAAACCAGGGCTGGAGGGAAGCTCCGGAGAAAGAGTGAAGGATTGGCTGGCCTGGCCTGCCTTTTACTGGGGCTTGGGGTGGGGCTGTCGAGGAAAGGGGAGATAATGCAGGGCAGGATATTCAGGGGCACCCAGGAGAGCTGGGGGCTGGGGCTGGGAAGGCTTCTAGGGCCAAGACAGGCAAGTGCGTGGTGGCGGGGGGTGTTTGTCTCGCTCTCCCTGTAGCTCCCTGGCTACTGCTGTCTGACCACGGGCCTCATCCTCCTGTTCCTTTCTGCTTATGCATAAGCGGGCGTGGCCCCTGAGTGGCACCCAGAGTGGGCCTTAGCCGCACTGTGTCACGCTGGGGCTCAGCATACACAGCTGTCACTTAGGTCCAGTTCCACGGTGAGAGAATCGGACCAGGCCAGTTTGGCCCGGGTGTCCACACCGGGTCCAGGGCGCACGCCCACTGCCCAGTCGGTGACAGTGGCGAGAGCAGCCTCTCCTATAGGGGTGTGGCCAGGACAGGCAAACTTCCAGAAACCTCCAGATGGACAGTGGGTGTGGGTGGCTGGTGAGAGGGGAGAGGAGAGAACAGGCTCCCTTTCTGCCCACAGTTGTCCTGGTCGTGGTGTTTGGGATCTGCTGGGCCCCGTTCCACATCGACCGCCTCATGTGGAGCCTCGTGTCCCACTGGACCGAGGGCCTGCACCTGGCCTTCCAGTACGTGCACGTCGTCTCCGGCGTCTTCTTCTACTTCAGCTCGGCCGCCAACCCTGTGCTCTACAGCCTCATGTCCAGCCGCTTCCAGGACACCTTCCGGGAGGCCCTGTGCCTGGGGAACCGGTGCCGCCGCCACAGATCCCGCCGCAGCTCTCACAGCCTCAGCAGGGTGACCACGGGCAGCACCCTGTATGACATGGGCTCCCCCCGCAGCAGGGCCCAGCCCCTGGCTGAGAATGATGGCCCAGAGGGGTGGCAAGAGACGGACCCCTCCCGAGAGGAGCCTCAGGCAGCTTCACCCTGAGGGGCCAGAGGGCCACGCCCAGCTTTGGGGACCACACCTGCCTCCTCTGCAGCATGTCTTTGTGGCCTGTCCCCCTTCGTGCCCCGTCCCCACTTCAGCCTAGAAACCCTGACCAGCACCTCAGTGATCCTGCCCCACCCATGGATCAGAAGGACTGTAAGGTTGCTGTCTGTCCTCTAGACTCTCAGGTCCCCAGTTCCAGCCCTTCCCCTGGAAGGGGAACATCATGGTCGGATAACTGCGCACCGCAAGACTCTATCTGGGGAGATAGAGTCTCCCCAGCCCGTTTCTGACGTGTTTCCGTGGCGCCCTTCCTTTCCTTCCCATTTCTTGCAGAGCTTCTGCAAGATCTGGCCCATTCTGTCCCTCTCTAGCTCTTGGCCTGCACCTGGGATTCTGACCCGACCCGCTCCCTGGCCCCCAGTCGGCTTGTTTTGCTCTGGGAGCTCCACCCGGTGGAGCCACTAGGTGGCAGGTGTGTCAGGGATCCAGGAGACCTGGCTCCGGTCTCAGCTGAGCCACCGGGTCACCTGGTCCCGGCATCAAGCGAACTGCCTCGCCTTACAAGCCTCGGGCCCTGCTTGCAAAATGAAAGGGGCCATGACATTCTAGAGTGCCGCGCTTTGGCACTTTAGCTGTGGTTTTGTGCGTGTGCCTAAGTCCCTGCTTGTAACAAAACAGATCCCTCAGATTAGCAAGGCGGAAATTACTCTTTACATCCTCACTAACCCCCAACCCTTACTCCCTCCCTGACCTCTACAAGCCTCCCACCCCACCCCCTCGAGAGCCACTCAGGGAACATGCTTCGCTTGTCCTAGAGCAAGTGAGGCTTGGCACTGGCCAAGGGACTGTGTGTGAGCAGAGGCCCCTGCCTGCCTCTGTCTTCACCTCCTCACAGGTTGGCTTGGGGGCCTGAGGTGAGCAGAGAATTGGGCCTGACTGGCCAGAGAATCTCTGGGGGCGAGAGACATGGGCCAACCAAGGGCAACGAGTGACTCCGCGAGAACTGCTTGGGACTCTGTGAGGTGAGAAGAGAGACACGTGAGTCCTGAAACGAAGCTCCATCCCGAGTCCCTGTGGGTAACTGGGTGCTCAGTCAGGATCCAGTTAATGGCCAGAACTTGTCCTGCTGCAGCCCCTGACCTGTCCTCCTCCTAAGAGGGGACTGCAGCAGAAGGAGCCCTGGCCTCCTTTGCGGGGAGCTGCAGGACACCCAGGGTGCTACAGGTTCTCCCTGCAGACTCTCCACAGCTCAGGCCCCAGGTCCCCTGACTGCAAAGTGGAGAAGATTGTACAAAAGTGTCCTGGAGTTTTTGAAATTCAGTTGTAAAAATAATACATACTCATTTTAGAAAAATTGGAAAGTACAAATAAGCAAAAATGAAAACAATTTAAAATAATTAAAACCCACCCTTGCTAGGGGATGGGGGAGGGGGAAATAGAGAGTTGTTTAATGGGTACAGAGTTTCAATTTTTTAAGATGAAAAAGTTCTGGAGATTGGTGGCAAAACAATGTGAATATGCTTGAACAATATTGAATTGTACACCTAAATGGTTAAGATTTAAATTTTATATGTATTTTACTACAGTTTTTTTTAAAGAAAGGGTTAAGTCTAAAGGAAAAGAAAAAATTAAAAAGCCACCCATAGCTTTACTTTCCAGGGTAACCACCACATATAAGACAGGATGGGGGGATCTGAGAAAGGAGCTTGTGAAAAGAGGCTGTGCAGAGCTACGAGTGCCCAATGGCACCTCTGAAATGAGCTCCCAGGCGGCCTTGGGGTGTCGTCGGGGGAAGCAGCTGAGGCCAGACTTCAGGCTGGAGCCTGCTGTTGTCCCCAAAGACAAACTGGACTCCCCGGGGCCTCTCTTAAGTGACAGAGACGACATGCTCCGGAGGCTCTGGTCAGTATTTATGAAGGGGCTACTATGGGCAGAGAAGCAGCGGGCAGGTTGGGGAAGCTTGGGATGTGAGTTATCAGAAGGCCTGGGCTCTGTAAATTTGATGTCTCTCAGGTGTCTCCACGGCATGTCAGTGGATAGGTCCCACTTGTCATGAGTCACTGGTTACCATGGAAAGTGGAAGCAGCAGCTGTGGGCTCAGCCCTGGAGAAGAAAGGATGGAGGTGGAAAGGCCAGCCAGCAAGATCCCACTCTGTCCTGGAAGCAGCATCCCCTGCAGCTCGCTCTTCTGCACTGGTCAGGGGGGCAGCAGCATTCCTGAGTGCTCAGTGCTACTCCCGGGACAGGAGTCCTGGCTCGTCTGGGACTCGGGTCACCTCCCGTCCTAGCTCTGGCTGCAGTCACACAGATCTCTCCTCCTCCCATGTTCGAGAGTTTGGGCCCGCTCTACTTCCCGTCTACTCCACTCCTGCCATTACCCTGGGCGAAGCTGAAGTCCCCGTGGATGGCCCGCCGCTGCCCTGGTATCAGCTCCTGATCTCTCCTGCAGCTCTGGAGGCTCTCCTCCACCGTGGCCTTTTGGCCCCTTGGTAACATCCTGACTCCCAGAACCTCTGGGCGTTTTTCCATTTCTGGAAGTGTGAGCTCTTTGACCATGATTGCCTCCTTCCTGCTCTGCTGCTTTATAAATGATACATTTATTCTTTAACCTCATCTAACCTTCCCAGTTCTCGACCACTCTGCTTTCTCCCCATCCATCAGCTTCCTCTCATCTTCACTTCCTTTCTGATGGGTCCTAGATCCCACGGTCCATCACACACAACCCTCTCTGCCAGTATTTCTGAGGGCCAAGGGGAACATACTGGGATCACCCTTTCCTTCTCAGAAAAAAGGCTTATTTTCTTTGGGAACTCACCAAGATGAGTCTCATCAACAAACAAAGCTGCATTTGCCCACCCTTCCTTCTGTGAAGTACCTGCTCAGGAAATATAAAGTGTGCAACACTTCACATCTATTCTTACATAGTCAGATGGCGTTTCCAAATCAATCCTGACACATGGGAGCCCATCTTATTTTGTACACTTCTTGGTGTCTCCCTTTTCCCCATCCTTGTCTTCTAGTGGGTCCACCGAGTCTTCTTTGTTCCATGTCTTCCCTGTAGAGAGGAGTTGCCTTTTTGGAGGGCTTCCTAGTATTTGCACTCCCTTCCCATTGAGGGGGATCCCTGTGTGTGTGACTCTTGGTTTGAGACCAAGCCCAGGCTCCTACCACAGAAGCTGAAAGGGCTCTGGACACCGCATCACTGACACCACTGTGTGACCCAGGACTTGCACTCAGGCAGCTGGATGGTCTGACCTGGGACTTCCACTGGGAGTTATACTAAGACCCATGACAACAGGGGCAGACATGTCCAGGGCAGCAGTGCTAAGAGCAGCATCCCATCCAGGCTGCTCCCGGGGCCCCTGCTGCCCAGCCCGCCTTGGCTTCTGCCCATTTTCTCTGCTGGTTTTTCAGCCTTCTTGTTGTTCTGAGCTACTAAGAGCCTTTCAATAAATTCCTTTTTTGCTTAAGTTGGCCAGAGTTGTTTGCTGCTGTTTGCAACCCAGAACCTTAACAGATCCATCTACCACTGCTGTGAAGGTTACACATTCTGCTTGTTCTACTAGTGGTTGTCTTTACATATTTCTAAGATGAACAGATATTATCATTGTTTTGAAACCCCAAACTACGGTCTGTAATACTTAATCATTCTCCTCTCTCACTCTGTTTTTAAAACTTTTTTTAAGAGGCAAGAACGATGAGGACACACTTAAGGAATTTGATCCTAGAAACACATTTACATTTTTCTAACAGTCTAATCCTCTTCAGCACAAGAACTTTAGTATGCTTCTTCTGACAAAGCAGTAGGGTATAAAGGTGGTGAGCAGGGACTCGAGTCAGGCTGCCTGGGTTCAAATCTTGACTCAAAAGTCAGACTGGCCTTAGGCCAAAGTCAGACTGGACTGAAAGGTACTGACATTTCTAAACAAAGGATGAGCAACCTGCCTGCACACAAATAAGAGACTCAGAGGCCAACACTGAGCGCTGCATCCTTCCAAACAGCGTCCAGGTTCCTAAGTCTACGAGGTTCAGTTTGAGGATGGTAGTTACTGAGGTAAATGTCCCTTTGTGTGGCCTCTTTAAATGTAACACCCCAACTTCACCTTCTTTCAAGCTTCTGCACAAGGCAGGGCAGGACAACTGGGGGGCTGTTTAGGAATAGAGGCCATGGCCCAGGTGAGGGACAGTGGGGATCCAGGGAAGGCCGTACCTGGCTGGGTAAGAGTGCCCTGGCTCAGGAGAGGTGGCCACAGGCTAGAGCTAGGCTGGAGGGCCTGGAAGCTGCTGCCACATTCTCTGGAACATCTACAAGAGTACCTGGGGTCTTTTAATCTAATATTCAAGTAGCTTCATCAGCTCTGAGCAATGTGGGTGTCATTCATTCAGCTAACATGTATTGAGTACCACGTGCCAGGGACCGTACAAGGCTGGGAGCAGGGGCATACAAGTGTTCTGACAGCTGCAAGTCTGGGGGCACAGAAGAGAGGCAGCTGCCCCAGTGGAGGGAAGGTTTCCAGGAGGAGGCGATGCTGCTCAAAGTTCTGGGAGAAGGGGTTGGACTGGCCTCTGAGCTTTGGCCAGGGAAGGGCGGAGCAGCTATAATGACAGTTCCACCAATACTGAATCCAGGGGAGGGGGACCCTAAAGGAAACAGGGGCCGTCAGGAGGAGGAATGGACACTGGACAGGCAAAAACAATAGCAAAGCAGACTGCGGTCCAAGTTCTTTGCTCTCATTCTCTGGACTTCCCTGGTTGCTCTTCCTGGAATTTGCACTTGGAACCTTCCCTCCAGTCTTCCTGTCTGTCTGGCCTTCATGCATAGGTAGGATGTGTTTCCATTTTAGTAAATTTGAAAAAACAAAAAAATGAAGTATACAAATAAACTACTTTTATTCCCAACACCTAAATTAACCACTATTAACATTTTGGCAATTTGATCCCTGTCATTTCCCACACATATACCCTCCCCTCATTAATGAATAATACACTGTTTTCAATCGTTTGCTTTATGAGAGAACTGCCTTGAACCGTCTGGTACAATATCCATGGTTACGATGGACGGATGAAGCTGACAATACCCAAACTGTGAGATCAAGTTTACCATCACTAGAAGTGGTGACTTAACCAGACATTAAGTGCCTCCTAGAAGGATGTAACAAGTACACAAAACCAACCATAAGTCTTGCAAAAAAAAAATTGAAGCTGAATGTCAGGAAGCTCCAGATCTAACTGGCAGTTTACAAGATCACTGCGGATGGAGGAGCGCGTTCAAGACACCTCGGCGGTGTAAGGCAAATCTAGCATAAGGACAAATTCTATAAGACAAATGGCCTGGTTTCTTCAACAGATAAATGGTATTTAAAAGGAGGTTTCTATTACAAAGTAAAAAAGATTTAAAAGGTGTATCAACCAAATGTAAGGCATGGAAATGTTTCAATCCTAATTCAAACATGCTAACAGGGCTTCCCTGGTGGCGTAGTGGTTGGGAGTCCGCCTGCCGATGCAGGGGACACGGGTTCGTGCCCCGGTCTGGGAAGATCCCACATGCCGCGGAGTGGCTGGGCCCGTGAGCCATGGCCGCTGAGCTTGCGCGTCCGGAGCCTGTGCTCCGCAGCGGGAGAGGCCACAGCAATGAGAGGCCCGCGTACAGCAAAAAAAAAACAAAAACAAAAAAACATGCTAACAGCAAAAAACAAACAAACACGCTAACAGCAAAAAGGCATTTTTGAGACAGAAAACTGAACACAGACTAGATATTAGATGATATTAATCCTGATAGCCTGTATCAGTACTTAATAAAGTGTTTACTGGCAAAATAATAGGACGCCTGGGATTCACATTAAAATACTCAAGCCAAAAAAAAAAGGGAGAGAGGGACAGCAAAACTAAAGTGGGGCAGGGAATAGCTGAAAAAAGAATTGCAGAAATACTGAAGTGATTGAGGTGATGGGTAAAAAGGGCTTCATTAAATTATATTCTACTTAATAATGTATGCTTGAAATGTCCATAATAAATTTTAAGTTTGCAATAAAGCTTCACATATTTGTATCTTCAGCAGCGTGATCCCTTATCTCTAGGTGAGAAAAGTGGAATTCCTCAATTTAAGGAAGGAGAATTTTTACCTCAACAGGAAGTCACCAAATTTCTCTCCAGGTGTTTGTAATGAGGGGGTTCAGGATATGCTACCCCAAAATACAGCCCCTTGGCATACTGAATATCTTAAGCCAAATGCATCGGTAACACAGCAGGTGCAGAGAGGACTCTGACCTTCCCCTGAAGCAGGTCATAAGACCCTCATGTGAGAGGTGCTCTCCCTCTACCCAGAGGAAAGAAGCATTCTTTTCTCCAAGACTGAGGAACACCAAGATCACACTTACCTCACACTTCTTTCCTTACTTTCACATTTTGTGACACCCTCTACTCTTCATCACATCTAGCAAAACACTCAGGTTTAACCCATTCTTCAGGTCTTCATTTCCTTATGAAGGCTCCTGTGTCACATCAAACTGTATGCTTTTCGCTTGCTAATCTGCCTTTTGTCACAGGGCCCCAGCTAACAATTTAGACAGGTAGAGGAAAAAAGATATTTTTCCTCCTCCACAGTAACAATTTGCCTTCTCACCAGTTTCCCCACAATCCCCAAACACTTGTTTGATGTTTTAATTTCTGTTAATCTGATGATACAAAATAGCATTGTATTGTTTTAAATGGTATTTTCCCTGTGGTTGTATAGCTGAGCATCTCTTCGTTATCTTTTCGTGCCATCTAAATTTCTTCTGAAAACTACTTTTCATATCCTTTGCCCATATTTGTTTGCCGATTTTTTTTTTTTTTTTTAACTTTTGGCATGTGGGATCTTAGTTCCCTAACCAGGGATGGAATCAGCCCCCCATGCATTGGAAGCGCAGCATCTTAACCACTGGACCACCAGGAAAGTCCCTGTTTGCCTTTTTCTTATTGTAGTTTTTCATATTCTGATACTAACTTTTTATTATATATGTTACAAATATTTCTTCCCAATTTGTTCCTTATATTTTAAATTTGTTTATAGAGACTCTTGCACCCTAAGGTTTTAAACTGTAACATGGCCAAATCTGTCATAATTTTTTTGCTCTGTCATAATCTTGCTGTGTCTTAAGAGTGACATTCATATTCCAAGTTCTTATTACAGGTTTTAATAAGAATGCTTCTTACTTTTTGCCATCAAATATTCTACATTTTCAGATAAGGTTTATCTAAAAGATATGTATTTTTCTTCCTTTAGTCTCTTAGTTTGACATTATTAACTTACCTTGCGACAGCTGGCATCCCAGAGATAAATCCTATTGGTCAATATTCTTTTACTATATTCAGTCAAGTACCAAATCTAAAATACGTAGGCAAGTCGTTCTTCTCACTCTTTTTCCTCCCCAATTTGGGACTTTCTGAAGCTAGGACAAAAGCAGGGCCCCTTACTCAGGGTCACCCTTCCCCACCCCTCAAAAACACACACATGACCCAAAGTGCTCATTTTCAAATCCCAATGTGGGTATTATTCCTAGAATTTTGATCCCACTGCAGGACCTAATGGTGCTAATGGTCGTTAAGAGAGAGAACATATTAAAGATGGCTTAATTCAAAGAAAATAAGAGACCATATTAAGTAATTGAGGATGCAAATCAATGGCCTCGGACGAGTTCCTTAGCCTCACTCTGTGAGCCTGGGAAACCAGTAACCGATTCTAAGTCACAGATTTGTTTTGAAAAGTCCATGATAAAATGTATGCAAAGCAACCGGTATAAGGCCTGGCACAAAACAGATATTAATGTTTTAGCTGTGACCATTACTACTATCACTAACTGCTTTGAGGGCAGCTTCAGACGCGGGTGGGCAGCGAGGGAAGGTTCCCCGGGGTCAAGAGGCCGACTGCCGGCTTCTGGTCTCCGCTCCACCTCGCGCTGTAAGGTCTGTGCCTCTTTCTAGGCTGAACATGTCGAGAGTACTAACACACACCCCAACGAGGGGGTGGCTGCCTAACCCGATTAATGGATGTGAAAGCCTGGAACCGACCCTGGGTCCCCGCATGTAGTGGAAGCCGTGCCTCTTTCCACGGAAGCGCTGCACTCACAGCGAGCGCCCACCTCACCCACTCGGGGGCCTCCCGGGCCCGCCCAAACCAAAATGTCCGTCCTGCGCGCAGGCGCAACACTTGCTGCCCCGGCTCGAGACCCCGCCCCCAGGCTCGCGCACTGCCCGCCCCCCCAGGATTGCGGCTCGGGACTGGCCTCAAGGCAGCGCGGGCTCTGATTGGGCGAGGCGGAGTCACGAGGGCGTCATTCTCTTCCGTGCTGTATTCTGCCTGGGCCTGGAGTTGTGGGAGGCTGCTGGGAGGGCACTGCCAGCCAGTTGGCGCCTGCGGGCAGCTGCAGGCTCTTCCCGGCCGTGTAGTGTAGGTGGCCGCGCGTGGTGGCCCGCGGGGCTTTGAGTGGGCGGGGCCCTACACCAGCGATAGCTTTAAGGGGAGGAGTACTCGTCAGGGACAACACTGTGCGGGTTAATTTGGGAAGTGATGGTTAAAGGTCATGGCTTGAGTCTCACTTGTGTTGTTAATTTTGATGGGGGTAGAGATGGAAGCTGCTCCAGTTAACAGTGAGTTCTCAGGCTGGAGAGGTAAAGACACTTGAATTGTAGGTACTGATTTTGTTCCGCTTTGGGGGCTTTATTTTGGTCCCGTGTGCTTCCGTTTGAGCAGTCGGTGGTGGAATTACTAATTTTTAAGAGCATCAGAGTTACTTGAAAACGATGGTGAAGGGAGCCGAATGAGAGGAAAAGGGAGGAATTCCTTTTTTACCTCGAGGAGTTTCGTTTCTAGATCGTGGCAAAAGAGAAGGTATGGGAGACCTAGCCTACAAACATATACCAAAAATTATCTGTGCAATATATTTTGATGTGAGCTGGTAAGAGTAAAAGATTCCAAATGAAAATAACTAGGATGAGGCCTAACACGGACTTATTGCAAATGGAAACTTAACACGAATACTAGAGGCAAAAGGTGCATAGCCTGGAATGTTGAAGTCCCTGTGATGTGCCTAATAATCTTGTCCATTTGAAGCAGGAAAACAAATCAAGGTGAACTGAAGAAAATGAGCCTTTCCCCAGAGGAGATAGAAGATGGGGAAGATGAGACATCAGAAGATAAGGACAATGGCAGTAGAGATGAGGTAACTATGTGTACAGTGTGCAGCACAGTAACTTACTAATGTCAACAATCCAAATCCAGAGGAAAGCAGTTAAACTGCATTGTTTGATCTGAAAAGTGGTTTTGTGAACATTTTCCAACTAGTTTCACAAGCTCACCCTAAACTCAATACCAAAATCTGACAAGGTCATTTTTAGAAAGGAACGTTACAGACCACTCTCATGAGCATAGATGTAAAAATTCCAAACAAAGTATTAGCAAACTAAATATTAGTGTTATGCAAAAAGAAAAGTACATTGTGACTAAGTGCAGTTTATTTGGGGAATACAAAAGTGTTCTTTGTTTGAAAAGTTATTTTGATTGCCTGGAAATACCGGTTTGAAAGAAAATCTCTTGATTCTTAAAATTGCTTCCTTCAATTCCATTAGTTTGTGTGTCCACCAAACGTATGTTTCCATATTTATCCTTTCAGCAAATATTTAGGTCCCTAGTATGTTCTGTTTCTGGCTGGGAGCCTCTGCATTAGTATTCCAATGTAGATAGGTTTAAGTTGGGCCCTAAAAGAATTGCGGTGGGTGAGTGGGTACACAGTGAATATTGAATGCTTCATCTGTGCAGCCACTGTGCTAGGACTTGATGCACTATCTCATTTCATCCTCACAGTGACCACGTTAGGTAGGGATCCTTAGCTCCATTTTATAGACAGGAAAAGAGAGTCATTGACTAACTTGCTCATGGTTTCATGAGCTAATAAGTGACAAATAATAAGTGACAGAACCCGCGTTATGCATTTGGTTCTGCCGAATCCAAAGCCTCTACTCTTTTCTGGTTCATTTCTCAGTCTTCGCCCAAGCAGCTCTTTTGGAGAGACAGATAGGTATTCAATCGCCAATCTTTTGATATGGGGCTAAGGCTTTGTCTTTGACTTTGAGTTCACTGTTGCAGTAGCTTATCTTTGTATAAAGTATACCCATTGTGCATCTTTTGCAATTTAAAATTTGTTTCTTTAAAACAAAGCAAAACTTAAACGCTAGGAAAGCAATTCGAAAACAGACGCCTACATTTTTACATTGTTTTCCCCATTCTTTTATGGTTCCTCACCCACACCTAATTTGAGCTTTATTGAGTATGTCCAAAGCGTTCAACTATGTTTTACTAGGTTCAATAACTTTTTGCATTAATCTGATTGGTTTATATTACATTTATTATGTAATTGAAACTGCAACTACAATGGTCATATATAGGTTTGCGAACAAAAGACTGAGGCTTATTAAGGATACGGTTCAGCTTACAGGATCAGAAATTTCTAGGTGTACCGAGTACCACTTAGTAGCCCATTAGCCGCATGTGCTTTTCGCATGCATTTCATAGGCATCAAGTTAGTAAATCCTGTTTGGAATTGAGATGGCCATTTAATCCAGCCACAGACTAGCTTAATGTGACACAGTTAAGTGGACATAGTTAGTAGACATAGTTAGGAGAGCACCTACTGTACTGTGATGTCCACAACACAGTGCATTAACTCTCTATACCAATCAGAGCCAAAAAATTCTTGGTGAATGCAACTTTTGTTTCGGAACCCAGACTGTGTTAGCTCAGAGGAAAATAGGAGTAGTCACATTATATTTTCCTTAAACTGAGATGCATGTGTTATGGTTCTAGACTGTTCACACTGGCAGCCTTTGGTCATTCCTCTTTAAAATGTGATGCCTGTGACCGTTTACTCTGATTGGTGCAGCATATAGTGGTGGTATCACAGTTAGATTAACTTCTAGGCTAACCATACCCTACTGTGGGCTCGTTGAAATTATTTAATTCAAACCCTAGTCTCTTTCACGTGCCTTCCCTGATCCCATGTCATTCCTATGCCAGATGAACTGGTCCCTCATCTGTTTGCCTGTAAATATTGTTCATAGCCAGTAATGCTAATCACATATTATAGTGACTCATCTCTTCCTGTGATGTGGGTTGAGGTCTGTATGTGTGTATGTGTGTATGTATATATACACACATACATATACATACACACACACACCAGTTGTGTTTTTGCTGGGGCTGCCATAATAAAATATCACAGATGTGTGGGTGGCTGAAACAACAGAAATTTACTTTCTCTCAGTTCAGGAGGCCGGATCAAGTTGTTGGCAATTCGGTTACTTCTGAGGCCTCTCTCCTTGGCGTGTAGATGTCTTCCTTCTTGCTGTGTTTTCACATGGTCATCCACCGCCCATAGTTCTTCATTTTCTCCTTTTGTATGTGGCGAGACTTCATTCAGTGTTCTGCTAAAATTTTCATCTTTAGTCATTTAGTTTTATAATACTGTGCCCAATTTTTAGTAGCTCTGGGATAGGAATCAGTGGTGTAATTAGGAAGCACGAGGTCCAATTTTGGGGGCCTGGCTCTCATTCCTGTGTATGTTTTAGGTGCCTGTGTGGGGGTCCTCACCTTTGGTGTTTTACTCGAATGCAGAGAGTTGGGACACTACAGACACACTGAGCCACCTGAACAGTCGTTGACTTGGTATGTTTTCCTTGCATACTTTTAGAAACCTAGACCCTTCCCTGTAGAGATTCTGATTTCGAAGCTCTAACTGAAATACAAGAATTTTCTTTTTCTCTTTTTTTCTTAGACAAGCGTGCCAGGTAATTCTGGTGCTGGGAGCTCTTTTACTGCACACTGAGAAATTCATCCTGGAGAAATCAACACAGCCGTTGACACGTGGGCCTGAGCAGATCTTGCACTTGCTGACTGTGCAATGTGACTGTCGCCTCCTGGCCACAGAGGAGACATCTCTTCATTGTTGTTCTTCCTCCTCTAGGTTGATGTCCCTCAGAAAAATGGTAGGAAGATTACTACTGCTCCAGGAAATAAAATCGAGAAAAAAAAGTTTCTGGCTCCCATGTTTGCTGAGAAATTAATATCACCATGCAGGAAGGGAGCCACAGGGGCCAAGGTTCCAAAAGACAGGAGGAGTGCCCTGCTCGAGAACCATGAGAAGGGACTTGAGAACCCTGAGGAGGATGAAGGTAAGAACTGTGAGTTGTGTCAGGTCGAGGGATGTAAAGAGTCCCCTCTGGGGACGTCCCTGCTGGTGGCTCTCAGGGGTCAGCCCTACGTGCCATTGCACATGGCTCTCGAAAGGGTTCTGTGGAAATGCCACCCTTGGCATCCCTGGCCGATTCTCCAGGCTTGGCTTGAGGAGTCCCAGTGGACATTTGACTTCTGTTGTCCACATGACCAGAATCAGAGTTTTCTCTTTGAGTATTGTACACTCTTTCTCTCCTTGTGCTTATGAGCCAGGCAGGTTAATTGTCCCCCAGATTTCACTCTGAGTGATTTTTTTGTCCTGATGGCGTCTGTGTAACATTTTAAATGGTATTGCTTCCAAAGCAGTAATTCTTAGCATTGTTATGAAAATACAATAATACATTTTAAATTATTTCAAATAAAAGGTTAAAATGACAGCGAATTTTTTTCTTAGATTTGTATATACAGTCAGACTTATGAGCAGTTTCTCTGAAAGAACAACTTGTCATTTTCATTCTTAACAAGTCTGTGTGGCAGTAATTGGGTGGGTTTTCATTTAGATTCTGAAAAAGAAACCCTGTATCCTTCATGGGCCAGGGGGAGAAAAGCCTTTCCCCTGGGGGCAGAGGAAGATGAGCAGGACCATAAGGGTGATGACGAAGGCTGTGAGGAAGAGGAAGGTCAGAATGACCTAAACCAGTTTTGTTAAGTGGTAGCCAGTATCAAGGAATTAGAGTTATAAGCGAAGCCGTGGGACAGAGCTGTTGAAGTTCTTTTAGGAACTTGAAGAACTTTTCCTAATTAATTTATAAATGCTTTTAAAAGTGTTCTGGGGCTTCCCTGGTGGCACAGTGGTTGAGAGTCTGCCTGCCGATGCAGGGGATGTGGGTTCGTGCCCTGGTCCAGGAAGATCCCACGTGCTGCAGAGCGGCTGGGCCCGTGAGCCATGGCCGCTGAGCCTGCACGTCCAGAGCCTGTGCTCCGCAATGGGAGAGGCCACAACAGTGAGGGCCCGCGTACCACAAAAAAGAAAAAAAAAATCCAATTAAAAGTATTCTGACCAGACCTAACCCAGGCATCTTGTGGAGAATAGGCACAGTGTAGGTATGGCATTTGTGGACAGTGTAAAGGCTCCCACTTTACTCATTTAGTGGCACAGACAGACGATTAAAAATACTATATTCTTGGGACTTGCCTAGTGGCGCAGTGGTTAAGAATCTGCCTGCCAACTCAGGGGACACGGGTTCGAGCCCTGGTCCAGGAAGATCCCACATGCCGTGGAGCAATTAAGCCCGTGCACCACGACTACTGAGCTTGCTCTCTAGAACCTGTGAGCCACAACTGCTGAGCTCGCGTGCCACAACTACTGAAGCCCACGTGCCTCGAGCCCGTGCTCCACAGCAAGAGAAGCCACCGCAATGAGAAGCCCGCGCACCACGACAAAGAGTAGACCCTGCACGCAACAACTAGAGAAAGCCCGTGCAGCAACGAAGACCCAACACAGCCAAAATAAATAAATAAATTTATTTTACAAAAACCCAAAGAAACAAAAATTTGTATTCTGGCTTTTGCCCACAGAGCCTATGAAGAAAGCACCTGATAAACCAGAAGGAGGAAATGACCAAACAGAATGCTTCCCCTGAAACCAAAATTCAGAAATTAGAAGGTAACTTCTTTGCTGCGTTTTAGAGCACAAGAGACACGTGGAGAGTTTCATATTGGCAAAAACCAAAACTCTGTTAGCCTAAATGATGGACAAAGGGATTTTAATTGCAGCCTGGTGTTACAATATGCCAGATTCTTCAATGGAAATTTTTTTTAGCATCATTCTTTCTGAACTGTTTCTTTGAGTTCTTTCTCTCTCTCTCTCTCTCTTTTTCTTTGCCTTTTTGTATGTCAGCTAAACCACCTGTAAGTTTCAAACTATTTGTTGGAAACCTGAATTTCAACAAAACTGTTGCTGAACTAAAAACTGGTCTTAGTGAATTTTTTGCTAAAAATGACGTCGCAGTCGTTGGTGTCAGAGTTGGCTTGTCCAGGTAAATACTGATAAATTAAGGCTGTTGTTAAGAGTTTATCAGCCCAACAATTATTATTCTTGTCAGATCCTTTTGTTACTTGTTCTTCGCCCTTTATAAGATATTACCTCAGCCTCTTGCAGTTCAGAATGAGTATTTAAAGTCCTTCAGTGGCTCGTTTAATAAATCCATTATATTAAATTTTGCTATCCCATTTTTCCAACCAAAATACTAAACTAATCACAAGATCTTCCAGGTCTTTACAGAAACATGTTTTCATGATTTTCCAACTGTGAGCAATGTTATTTGCCTAGAATTATTTTAAACGAACACAGATTTAATCACAAAACCCCTAGCTTTGGTGGCAAATATAGGTTCTGTATCAGTTCTGCTTTTTTGCCGAATTGAATTTCATCGTTTCTTACTTCTTTCTCATCAGAAGCATATGTCTTGGGTGTAAGCATGCTTATTCTATGGTGCTCAGGATTTCTCAGGTAGAAATGAAAAGATGATAATAATAGTAAACGTTCATTGAGTGCTCATTCTACCAGGCGTTGATCTTTGTTTATTTAACTCATTGAATCCATAAGACAATTCTCAGCAGTAATTATTGTCATTATCCCCATTTTACAAAGGAGGAAATTGAGGCACAGAGAAGTTAAGTGACATGCCGAATATCACACAGTTAGAAAGTGGCAGGGTCGGGATTTGAGCCCAGCATTCTGGCTCCAGAGGTGATGCCACAACTTTTGACACATTGCTCTGCTTACACTTTTCATTAACTATATTGTGAAATATTGTTGTGTTTGTAGTAAATAAACATTCCTTTTGCATTAAAAAAAATTCTTGGGACTTCCCTGGTGGCGCAGTGGTTAAGAATCCACCGGCCAATGCAGGGAACACGGGTTCGAGCCATGGTCCTGGAGGATCCCACATGCTGCAGAGCAACTAAGCCGTTCGCCACAACTACTGAGCCTGCACTTTAGAGCCCGCAAGCCATAACTACTGAGCCCGTGTGCCACAGCTACTGAAGCCTGTGGACCTAGAGCCTGTGCTCCGCAACAAGAGAAGCCACCACAATGAGAAGCCTGTGCACTGCAACGAAGAGTAGTCCCCCCTCACTGCAACTAGAAGAAAGCCCGCAGGCAGCAACGAAGACCCAGCACAGCCCCCCCACCACCAAAAAAAAAAGAAACTTACTCTAATAGCCTTTGAGTTTGCCAACACGTTCTATTTTAAGAATGATATTTTTGGGAGTTCCCTGGTGGTCCAGTGGTTAGGACTCTGCACTTTTACCGCCGTGGGCATGGGTTCAATCCCTGGTCAGGTAACTAAGATCCCACAAGCTGGGGCTTCCCTGGTGGCGCAGTGGTTAAGAATCCGCCTGCCAGTGCAGGGGACACAGGTTCGAGGCCTGGTCCGGGAAGATCCCACATGCCACGGAGCAGCTAAGGCAGTGCGTCACAACTACTGACCCTGCGTGAGCCGGCGAGCCATAACTACTGAGCCCGTGTGCCACAACTCCTGAAGACTGCATGCCTAGAGTCCATGCTCCACAGCAAGAGAAGCCACCGCAATGAGAAGCCCGTGCACCGCAACTAAGAGTAGCCCCCGCTCGCTGCAACTAGAGAAAGCCCGCGCGCAGCAACAAAGACCCAACACCGCCAAAAATAAATAAATTTATTTAAAAAAAGATCCCACAAGACGCATGTCATGGCCAAAAAAAAAAAAAAAGATATTTTTGTTTCAATTCACAAGTGCAATGGCTGTTTCTTAAAACAGAAATTCAAAAGCGTGTCGTTTCATTTTTTATAGCTTTTGGTTAAATCTGGCCAGTAGTTAGAAAACTAATAATGATTTCAGCGGGTGAGTTTGCCCTGACTCTCAGTCCTTGCCCTGGAGGAGGGCTTCTCGACTCTTGCACTATTAAAATTTGGGGCCAGCTAATTCCTTGTTGGGGGGGACTGTTCAACAGCATCCCTGGATTCTACCCACTAGATGCTAGAAGTGCCCCAGTTGTGACGGCCAAAGGTGTCTCCAGATATTGTCAGACTCACCCCAGGTGAGAACTGCTGCTCTCCGGTTACTTGATGGCACTGATATTGCCAGCTGGGGGAGCCTTGGTTTTAATTTGTAAAATTTGACAGCTGCGTTTGACTCAATGCTAATTTCCACTTTCACAGCCAGTGTGAGTAGCCAGCTGGAAGGCATATGCCTTTTGACTCTACTTGTGTTTTTTTTCCCTTTTCGGCTGCATCTCTGTAGGAGATTTGGTTATGTGAATTTTAAATCTGCTAACGACCAGGAAAAAGCCCTGGAACTTAGTGAGACAAACGTCCTTGGATATGAAATTAAATGGAAGAAACCGAAAAGGGAGAGGAAACAAAGAAACGTATGCAAGCAAGGTAACTTGTTCAGAGATACCTGTGTACCTAGAAGACGCTGCATCAGACAGGAATATCGTATTTTTTCTTACTCTGTGCAAGCACTCCTCAGTTTCTAGCAAGTCGCCTACTTCCACAGCACAGACTCTCTCTGCTGTGCTCACTCCTTCTGCTCTAGCCGCACGGCTCACCTTCTCTGTCCTAATGTTCGTGACTTATCCCCTGGCTATTGACAACCCATTCAAGAGTCTCAGCTTAAAGGTTACCTCTGCAGATCAGAAAACTTTTCCCTTGCCCCCAGACTAAGTTAAGTCTTCTCTACTTGATGTTCTCATTTCCCTTTTTACTTTTCCTACCTGACACTTAACCACAGTTTGTAATTATGTGACTGTTTGTTTACTAGCCTTTTCCCCAACAAGACTACATTCTCAAGAGTGGAGGCCAAGTCCGTATTTTCACAGCCAGCACGTAGCACAGGCCGTTGTCACCCAGACGCTGTGTGCAAATGTTTGGTTTTTTTAATATTTTATTTATTTATCTTCCTTATTTATTATTATTATTTTTTTGGCTGTGTCAGGTCTTAGTTATGGCACATGGGATCTTTGTTGAGGCATCAGAGATCTTTTTGTTACGGCACGCGTGGGCTTCTCTCTAGTTGTGGCATGCAGGTTTTCTCTTTCTGCTTGCAGCGTGCAGGCTCCAGGGCATGTGAGCTCTGTAGTTTGCAGCACGTGGGCTTAGTTGCCCTGCAGTATATGGGATCTTAGTTCCCCGACCAGGGATTGAACCTGCGTCCCCTGCATTGGAAGGTGGATTCTTTACCACTGGACCACCAGGGAAGTCCCCAAATATTGTTAAATGAAGGAATATGTACTACTCTCCAACTCTTTGAGAAGTATTTTTTCTCTCTTAGAGAACTCTTGATGCTTATGAGATCTAAACTCAGACTAAAAATACTCTTTTTGTGTTTATGAAGATGGAAATGCCAAAACACTTTTGATCAAGAACTTGCCTGACAGAGTCTCTCAGCATGAATTAATAGAAGTGTTTGAGGATACTTTTCAAATCAGATTGGTGAGCAAGGATGGGATGAGTGAAAGGTATGTCTTTGTACCTTGTACTGAAAAAGAATATATGATAACAGAATTTCATTGTATTCTCCCAAATCACTCATACCGGATTTTAGAGAAGGAAAAAGTAGTTATCCAGCCTTTCTACCAGCAGGCAGAGAAAGCATCATAAATGGATAGCCAAAGGCTTCTAGAAGACTGTAGGGCTGTCATAGAGGAATGAAGACTTTATTCTATCAAGTACAAGATTGAAGATTAGAAGAATCCACTCATAGGTTATCATCATCCTGTCTCTCCAGGGCTGACTACAGGAAAATAACACCCTTGGTGACTTGTCTGGACAGGTACCAAAAGAGAACGTTAACTTGGTCTGTTAGAATTATGTTGTAGCCAATTAATGAAACACTGTCACTATATATCTGGGCTTTGGTAGCCTAAGAGGATGAATATGGTGAAATTAGAAAGGATGGAATAGAATGTATTTTGAAGGGATTCTCAATGTGGTAAAAATTGGGTATCAGGATTACAGATACATTTGAGCTAAATTTGTTGGTGTCGGTGAACTCTAAAATAATCTGTGCCACTGTATTCTGATGAACATAATCTCTGGAAAAGAATCCCACAGATTTAGAAAACAAGTCTGAAAAGATAAATCCCAAATTGTTAGCAGTGTTTACTGTGAGGAGGTTTGGGGGCACTCTGCTGGGCTTGCATACCATACCCCCAAATTAACTCAAAATAGATCAAAGACCTAAATGTAAGAGCTAAATTAGAAAACTATGAACAAAGCACAGGAGTAAATCTTTGTGATCTTGGATTAGAGTCTTGCACAAGCAATAAAAGAGAAGATTGAGAAGTTGGGCTTTATCAAAATTAAAAACATTTGTACTTCAGAGGACACTATCTAAAAAGTCAAAAGAAACCCTACATCCTGGGAGAAAATATTGCAAATCATATATATGAAAGAGACCTGTATATATAAAAGATACATAAAGAACTCTTACAGCTCAATAATTAAAAGACAACCCAATTAAAAAATGGGGAAAGGATTTGAATGACCATTTCTCCAAACAAGGTGTACAAATGGCCAATAAACACGTAGAAAGATGCTCAACATTAGTCACTGAGGAAGTGCAAATCAAAACCATGATGTGAAGGAGGGCTGAGTCAAGATGGTGGACTAGGAGGACGCGGAATTCGCATCTCCGCACAACTAGGGAACCTACCAGGCACCGTTGGGGGATCATGGACACCTAAGGGGATGGGAGGAACTGCTAGCAACCAGCTTGTGGGATATTGGTTCCCAGGCTGGAGGTCGGGCCTGAGCTCCTGTAGTGGGAGCTCTGAGTCCAAACTGCTGGACTAACAGAGAACCTCAGACCCCAGGGAGTATTAATTGGAGTGAGGCCTCCCATGGGTCCTAATCTCAGCACCAAGACCCAGCTCTATCCAACTGCCTGCAAACTCCAGTGCTGGACGCCTCAGGCCAAACAACCAGTAAGACAGGAATACAACCCCACCCATCAAAAAAAAGAAAAAAAGAAAAAAGAAACGACAGAAAAATATGTTACAGACGAAGGAGCAAGATAAAAACCCACACAACCAAATAAATGAAGATGAAATAGGCAACCTATAATTCAGAGTAATGATAGTAAAGATGATCCAAAATTTCGGAAACAGAGCGGAGAAAATATAAGAAACAGTTAACAAGGATCTAGAAGAACTAAAGAGCAAACAAACAGTGATGAACAACACAATAACTGAAATTAAAAGTACCCTGGAAGGAATCAATAGGAGAATAACTGAGGCAGAAGAATGGATAAGTGACCTGGAAGATAAAATGGTGGGAATAACTGCCAGGGAGCAGAATAAAGAAAAAAGAATGAAAAGAATTGAGGACAGTCTCAGAGACCTCTGGGAAAACATCAAATGCACCAACATTCGAATTATAGGGGTCCCAGAAGAAGAAGAAAGAAAGAAAGAAAGGGTATGAGAAAATATTTGAAGAGGTTATAGTCGAAAACTTCCCTAACATGGGAAAGGAAATAGTCAAGTCCAAGAAGCGCGGGGAGTCCCATACAGGATTAACCAAAGAAACACGCCAAGACACATATTAATCAAACTATCAAAAATTAAATACAAAGAAAAAATATTAAAAGCAACAAGGGAAAAGCAACATATAACATATAAGGGAATCCCCATAAGGTTAACAGCTGATCTTTGAGCAGAAACTCTGCAAGCCAGGAGGGAGTGGCAGGACATATTTAAAGTGATGAAAGGGAAAAACCTAAAAGCAAGATTACTCTACCCAGCAAGGATCTCATTCAGATTGAACAGAGAAATTAAAACCTTTACAGACAAGCATAGTTAAGAGAATTCAGCACCACCAAACCAGCTTTACAACAAATGCTAAAGGAACTTCTCTAGGCAGGGAACACAAGAGAAGGAAAAGAC